TTTACAGATAAATAAATGTAATTTTGACAAAATCATGTACACTCACATGAGATTCTTAGTCATACTGGTAGACCAAACAAATCTGGGGGCTGCCATGTTGAGACCACATGACCAGCTGAATAATACTGCGTTCACCCCATTTCGTAATTACCGTAATTTCGAGATGACAGCACGTGACGTTCTACTCGGAGCTGTTCACGTCCTCGGACTCGGAATTATGCTCTTCTATGGCAACACTATCAACGCCTAAACAGAGCCTGCAGTGGTCAGGTGGTACAGCGGTCATGTGGTACAAGTCGTAGCTCTCAGAAATCTCCCAGTTCACAAGTTGTAATTACGAGTTCTATGAGGACGTGAATGCTTTTTACAAGTTGGAATCTCGTAATTACGGGAATTCCGATATTATACCATATTCTCTGTAATGTCTCTTGTTTTTGGATGATTTCACTAATTAAATAAGTTAGTCATGGCTGATAATGCCTTTCTAAAACTGAAAACATTTGATTTTACATAAATCTGCATCCACACCACTAGGTGTCAGTATAAGTCCAAGAAGACTCGCCCAACATAAACAAAAATGTTCAAGTGCACTTTTAGGCCTGAACATGCTCTATACATGTACATGAAGGCAGAAGCTTCTAACTACAATAGATTGTGCAACGCAAATGCTTTTTCTCATCATTGCTGCAAGTGGAGCTACATCTAAAACTATCTGCTTTTACGCTCAGATTACTTTTTCAGGTCAATTGCTGTCATGGCGGAGCAACATTTTAACCACAGTCTTGGTAAGCAAACTAGCTAAAGTCAGTGTTGATAGCAACTTAGCGGGACACATCTGGCTTAACGGCCAAGTTCTCATGTCTGCATTCATGTACTTATGTAAAGTATATTTCTGGCTTTAAAGGGATAGTTTTCATTTTTCACGTCGTTCCTAACTTGTATGATTTTCTTTCTTCTGTGGAAGAAAATAAGAAGATATTTTCAAAATGTTTCTAGTGTTTTTTATCCTTAAATTGAAAGTCAATGGGGTCCAATGCTGTTGTTTTGGACCCCACTGACTTTCATTGTAGGGGAAAACAACAGATGAAATATATTTCAAAATATCTTCTTTTGTGTTCAGCAAAGGAAAGAAAGTCATACAGGTTTGGAATCTTCAGAAGCTTCATTTTTAGGTGAACTATCCCTCTGTTTATTTCATACTTTAAGACGTGACTGTTACACCACTACATGACAGCACCACAATTTGTTTCTGTCTAGAAAACATCCCTGAACCACCAAAATAATACAGTATATTGAAAGTGATCGTAGTTACACAGTGTAACACAAACATGAATAGAATGTATTTTTAACAAACTTATTTAATTAAATTAACTGATCAACAGAGCAACAAACTGTCTTTTTTTTACTTGTATTTAATTTTAAATGTCAATTGATCCAGATCTGTTGGTGCAGCATAGCTTAAAGTTAATACATCAGCCCCTTGCTTTACTATTGCAGGGTTTAAGATCAGTTACATGAAGGACATAAGCAAAGGTATCTAATAGACCTGCCTAACACATATTTCTAGTTCAGTGAGAATATTAGAGACTACAGGACGGAAAGTGAGGAGTCTATTCATCACAACGGCACAAAGGCTCATGGGACACCAGTGATTCAGAGTACATTACTCTCTATAATAATTAGTTTGAGTTACAAGAGCTGAGAAAGAGACCATATGAAACAAATTTAATTAAGTCGAACAGCAACCTAGATCACTATGCTATGTGATTGAGGTGGATGAGAAGACCATTTAAGATATTTTTAGTTTTAATTAATTGTATTTGTTTTTACTCATTAGTATTCATGTGTCTCAGTGATACCCACTGAACAGTAATACGTCTTAACAGTTAGTTTCACATACTCTAATATTCAGTAATATCAATTTTTTATATTTTTATTGAAAATATCTGAATGGAATTTATGTCCAAGATAATTTAATTAAATTTAACAACCCATGATATTATCCCCCAAACACGCATTTGTATTACTTTGTAGATTTTTCTTTCCTCATTTTTAACAATAAAGTAAATTCAGATGTGTGTCTGAATATTTTATTTGCAGATTTTCCTGTAGTGATTACAAAACACAAAGGGATCACAATCCATTATTGTCTTTTTGAAGAAAGCAAGCTTTTAAAGCTCTTCACAATCTTAGTAACCACCATGACGCCAGCTAAACAAAGAGCATGTATCCATATCAGACCTTTGAAGACTTCCAGGCTTATTATCTGTGACATCAGTGACAGATATTAATGGGATTGTGGCAGAATAAATGAATGGCTCAATTTAATCTGAAGAATTCTGGGTACAGAAGGGCAGGGATGAAACACATAATGTCCTCTCTGGATATGAAAAACAAACAATCCAATAGAGAATAATTCCTCCTCTCCTGAGCTGAGCTGAACTCTAAACAAGATATATATTATCAGTACCATGGTAATCATGCAGGTACCATAGTATATATCAAAACATAATGATATTTCCTTCTGAAACCTTTACTGTACCATATTACTGTCAGTGTGCTTTATGTAAGAGTATTATAGTATTGATTTCAAAGCTGGATGGTTTCCATAGTGACATATGACTATAACTTTTTTTTTATAAAAATCCACCTTTGTTCCTGACATGAATTTCCTGAAAATCTCCTCATCTGCCATCAAGAAGGGTTGAGTGTCAGCATAGAATATAAGGATTCGTTTTTTTTTTATTTGGAAGTGACCTGAGAGCACAGACCCCAAATCATACAAGCTCAAACTTTGACACCGGAAGTGCTATTCAGAATCCTAATGACAGAATGGTGTTGAAAGCAATATTAGTTGAATGGAAAATAAATTATATATATTACATGAATATACATTTGTTATATCTTTGTTAAATTTTTTATTATATATAAATTTTTATTATATATACTATAATCCTTCAAAATTCAAATATGCTTATTTGGTGCTCAATAAATATTTCTCATCTTAATGGAAATTGATACAGTTTTTTTCAGGATTATTTAATGAATAGACAGTTCAAAAGAATAGCATTTATTTGAGATGAAAATCTGTTGTAACATTATAAATGTCTTTACTGACACTTTTGATCAATTTAATGCAATCTTGCAGAACAAATGTATACATTTCTTGAAAAAAAAAAATCATGCTGACCCTAAACCCTGAATGGTGTGTATGAACATCATGTTTCCTAGAAAAATAAATTATATACTGTGTTATATTAAAATGGAAGCTACAAGTGAAAGTTATGCCAATTAAAAGTTTCCAATATTCAAAAATACAATAGAAATAGCAGTAAATGAGAATTATGATTTAAAGATATTCATGTCATTTAACTTATGATTTGACCCTAACAGTGAAAGTATAGCAAATAAGAAATCTGTTTGGAAGGAAGAAATCACACTGCTGACATGTGACATGGGCAGGGGTCATGCTTAAGCTTTATTAAACCCATCTGTGATTCCTCACAGATTCACCTGAGATTTATCTGGATCTGTGGCTCATCACACTAAGAATGAAAAGAAAAAACGCTGAAACAAAGTGATTAGTTTGCAGCTTAAAGCAGAGCCCTCTCATTACAGAGTAATCCACTGACCTTTTCACACCACTTAACAGTGTTTACACTCAATGGCTGCCCTTCAATCAAACGTGCCCTGTTTTTGGACCTCTTGATATATGTGATAACAGCATTAGATGAGTATGGTTGGTGTATAAGCTTTAAGTGACTAAATAAGCATTAATTGGGAACTGGTATTATTTGTATTTGCATCTTTTTTTGGATGTCAAGCTATCAACCAAACTACACACAGTAAGTGACTCAAGACTCGATTGAGATATTACTGTGAAGGGATGATAGTCAAAACAAAGCCCAGGAGTGCACTGTGATGTGCTTAATGAATGCTTTACTCACCCTTGTAATCATGTTGTCTGATTTCTGATCCATTTAATTGGTTATCCAATAATGCCCAGTGGGCTTAATTTATGAAACACAGACAGAATTAATTTTCTAGTTTGCCAAATCATTCTTATGTAACTTGTTGCAACAGTTTTGTCAACATACCTGTATGAAAAATTAACTTACAAAAACACAAAATACACATATTTTATGAGATAGATAGATAGATAGGCAGACAGACAGACAGATCTATCTAATAATTATTACTTAAAATTGTTACTATTGTTATTGTTTTTCATCATATAACTTAATTTATTACAATTATTAATATTTATTTAATGTATCTGTCATGACAAACCCTGAAAACCCTTCTACAGTGTCAGGTTTTGTTAATGTAATATTCCGTATATTTTGATTGTTATGTCAAGAGTAGTTTCCTTTAGGATTCTGAAGAAATTAGACAACAACTGCTAAAACAGTCATATATGGTTTTCGGGGAACACCTTGTCCAAAGAAAACAATGTTACCATGGAGACTGACAATCCACGAAAAACAGAAATAAACAACACCAAACAATTTACTTAGCTGTCTATCCCTGTCAGGTTTTTCCATCAAAACAGTCACATGCTTAAGACTCCCTTTTGGTAAATCATGTGTGTTTGCATTATCATCCTTATTTTTTGTGTTGCTAGGGTTCCTGACATTTCGTACAGTGTGGTGTACGAAATGGTGTACACTATGGTGAAAAGAGCCATTGCTGTATTGTCTCTACTTCCCGGAGGCACGACACTTACTCCTTGAAGTCTTGTATTAAGATGCCAAGAGTATCCATGTTTAAGTAGACAAAAAAACCAGGCCATTGTCAGCTGCCTGTCTTTGAAGGCCCACGTTGTGTAGAGTTTCAGCAAGTGCCTTCAGGCTGTCAACTATGGGACTTTATTCACAAAAGGGCTGGTCCCGAACAGTGGATACACCAAACCTCTCTGACCTTATTTCATTTCCATTCCACAAACGAAAACGCTCCATAAAAGGACACCACAGTTCACAAGATCTCACAGGCAGAGGATACCTAAACCAACCGCAAGCATGATCCAAGGTGCGTACGTGTCCTAGGACGTGTAACTGTGGGATATGCGCCGAGCTCCCGGGATGTACCAATGGTGACTAACTGATTTTGAATATGGTGTATTTTCTTCCATGAACAGGTTCACGTTCAGCAAACAGCAGGAAAGAATTTCTCCTCAACATCTTCCTCTTACTCCTAACTACAAAATTAGACAAAAGCTTTCAGTTAGCGCTGAGTGACTGCGGATCAGAATACAGACGTCCAGGTACAGTTTTCATTTCTGACTGAATCACACAAGAATGAATTGCTTGATTACATCGTAAAAATATCAGAATTATTTGAATTGGCTTATTTTGATATATGTCTGCGGGTGTTTTCAAGCTTGTAATTCTGTCCAATTTGATTAACAAAACCTTTATTCGATTCAGTGGGGGGTTTTTTGCCTCAAGTTTTGCCTTTATACTGGTTTTTCCGTAACTAATCCTATCGTTCTTGTCACGACAGAGTACACAGACATCTCTGTAGACTGTGGAACGGAGTACATCAATGTGGCTATCAAATTCTGTCCTGTCATGTACACCGGCTACAACGAATCAGAGTTAATCCTCAACAAAGTCATGAATAACCCAGATTGCAGGGCGACCCTTGATACTACAGTCTTACCTCCTATAGCCCGATTTAGGTTCCTGCTTAACTCAACCAATGCCTGCGGCAGCAACTTTGTTGTGAGTAATAGCTATAAATCAAAGTAAAGTTATACCTCAAAAATCATATAACTTAACTTATTATTCAAAGTCAAAACTAAAGGGTCAGTCTGTTTTTATGGCTTTAAATACAATGAATTCCTAACTTTTCTCCACAGACAATAAGGAGTATAGGGACAGGAGTATTCTCGGACTTCTCCAATATCGAGACGGTCAACATCAGTGGAACTGTTCAATCGAAAGACATCACAACAGGCACTGTGACGTATAACGCTGAGCTGAAGTACTACTACTCATGCGTCTATCCTCTGGAGTACCTGATCAACAACACTCGGGTGGATGTGTAAGCGCTCATTTCTGTCATGTTATAGCATACCCGGTCTAAGATCTAAGATTTACTAAAGATAAAAGAGCAAAACTCACTGGGGAATAAGTGTCTTGGTGTAGTATCACTCTTTAAGAACATGTTAAATCCAATTGGTTCATCCTCGTTGTTGTCCTCAAAGGACAGGAAGATGAAATTATATTCACAACAGAGAGATACAATGACACATATACACACGTCTAGTCTCGGGGTTGTCCACATTGAGTGATTGTGGGCTTTTTCAGGTAAACTTTAACCTCGATCTGTCTTCTCACAGGTCGGCCTCCTCGATTGCAGTAAAAGACAACAATGGCAGCTTCATCAGCACTCTGAGTCTCAGACTCTTTAAAGTCAGTCCCTAAATCTCCATGCATCTATTCATCAGATCAGTTAGAGACATATGCTTTATATTCATTTATCTGAACATCTTTTCATTTCTCAGGACATAAACTACACAGAGCCTCTCACCATGCCTCCCCTCGGTATTGAGCTGAGGACAAATGTGTTTGTGCAAGTGGAGGCCACCAACTTGACCTCCCAGTAAGACCTGTTTCAATGAGTTTCATCATGGCAGTAAATTAATCAATTTTGCATTTAAGTTGACAATTATTATGTATTTCACAGGTACTTTGTGTTGCTGGACAGATGCTATGCCTCCATTTCCACTACACCCACCACCAGAAACTTCTTCAACCTCTTTGTGCCGTAAGTTTAATCATAAAAGTAGTATTATTCATTCAATTTATATAGATATATTTTTGTATGTTAACCCTTAAAAAACTACTGTGGCAGTACTATGGTACTTTGATCTATACTATGGTCTTCACGGTTACTATAGTCATGTCATAATACCACTGCACAATGTTTATAAGATGAGAGAGAATAATTTGTTGTTTGATCATTTGTTTGATCAGTTGCGGCAGAGAACAGCTCACTAAAATGCTGGTGAATGGGGAGATGCAGCTTGCTCGGTTCTCGTTTGCGGCCTTCCGCTTTACAGAGCAGCAGAACCAGACAATATCTACATACTATCTGCACTGCATCACAAGACTGTGTGAAATATCAACCTGCAGTACATTTAGGGTAATGCCATACAACATATAGAGCTCCGGCAGTTGACGTCACGCACTCTAAACTCCACCATTTTGGCAGGCAATCAGGAGAGCGCTAAAGCATTGGTATCGACAGTTGTACAACAATAATTTAAAACAAGACTATTTAGACCTTACAAACCTTACTATTTCAACATGGTGGACAGCTGCTGTGCGCCAGGATGCCAGAACAGGCAGGGGAAAGCTAGGGCTGCCAACCGTCCCGTATTAGCCGGGACGTCCTGTACATTGGGCTTAATTTATGTGTCCCGTACGTGACCTCCCTTGGCCCGTTTCTTGCCCCTCACACAGTATTCGTTAAGTAAATCAGAAAATCTTGAACATAACTGTTTGAGGAAGGCTGCAGAATCCTCAGCCGGCTGGTCGCTCCCGCTTCACAATTAAGCTGCGCTCGCACTACCGCCAATTCCGTCCGTGTTTTGACTTCAGTAAATCAGTTTTGGCAATTACAAACTATGTGATTATTTTTTATGAGTCCAACATCCTGCCATGAAAGAAAACAAGCAATCTACCCGAGACGTGATCAATAAGGGAAGCCGTCTTTTATAGCAAAATAGAGAAAAAACATTTTACATTTAAGTAAGCTTCTTAACCTTGTAGTCTATCTTATTCGTAAAACACACAAAATGACCAATAAAAAAAGTGTCAAGCACCAAAAGTAGCCCATATTAAATCTATAAGTTATCTTTAATTCAAAAATACGCATTTTCACACACACACACACACACACGCGCACACACACACACACACATATATATATGCATACATACATATGGGATTGTCCCATAAAGCAAAGGGGAAATCATTTGATCATATTCCTAAGGATCCTGATAGACGACTAAAATGGTTCACTGCAATAAAACATGCTAACCAACACAAACTTAGGGATTAAACGGGTAAGATTTCATGACATGTGTGATGTCTACTGTACTCACAGTGATATAGCCATGCTGGGTACCTACAAGGACAGCTAGGGTCGATTACGTTAGCTAACAACACAGTTGACTTACCCTTCCTGTGACGACATAGCAGGTTGAATATTCATCAAAAAATTTAATTGCGTCCATTTGTACCCCTCCATGCTTTTGTAGGCTTTTTAAAGAGTCTCCGGAGTAACGTTAGGAGGGAATGTTGATTAGGTACGTTAGTTGTAGATATCAGGATACTGCAGGTCAGGAAATCTATCCGTTCCTTTATTGATAGGCTACACGTTCAAAGCACCATGGGGGCATTATAGGGATCTGTTATGCTTAATCTATTAAGTTTTGCTATGCACAGCTGCTGTGCGCCAGGATGCCAGAACAGGCAGGGGAAAGCTAGGGCTGCCAACCGTCCCGTATTAGCCGGGACGTCCTGTACATTGGGCTTAATTTATGTGTCCCGTACGTGACCTCCCTTGGCCCGTTTCTTGCCCCTCACACAGTATTCGTTAAGTAAATCAGAAAATCTTGAACATAACTGTTTGAGGAAGGCTGCAGAATCCTCAGCCGGCTGGTCGCTCCCGCTTCACAATTAAGCTGCGCTCGCACTACCGCCAATTCCGTCCGTGTTTTGACTTCAGTAAATCAGTTTTGGCAATTACAAACTATGTGATTATTTTTTATGAGTCCAACATCCTGCCATGAAAGAAAACAAGCAATCTACCCGAGACGTGATCAATAAGGGAAGCCGTCTTTTATAGCAAAATAGAGAAAAAACATTTTACATTTAAGTAAGCTTCTTAACCTTGTAGTCTATCTTATTCGTAAAACACACAAAATGACCAATAAAAAAAGTGTCAAGCACCAAAAGTAGCCCATATTAAATCTATAAGTTATCTTTAATTCAAAAATACGCATTTTCACACACACACACACACACACGCGCACACACACACACACACATATATATATGCATACATACATATGGGATTGTCCCATAAAGCAAAGGGGAAATCATTTGATCATATTCCTAAGGATCCTGATAGACGACTAAAATGGTTCACTGCAATAAAACATGCTAACCAACACAAACTTAGGGATTAAACGGGTAAGATTTCATGACATGTGTGATGTCTACTGTACTCACAGTGATATAGCCATGCTGGGTACCTACAAGGACAGCTAGGGTCGATTACGTTAGCTAACAACACAGTTGACTTACCCTTCCTGTGACGACATAGCAGGTTGAATATTCATCAAAAAATTTAATTGCGTCCATTTGTACCCCTCCATGCTTTTGTAGGCTTTTTAAAGAGTCTCCGGAGTAACGTTAGGAGGGAATGTTGATTAGGTACGTTAGTTGTAGATATCAGGATACTGCAGGTCAGGAAATCTATCCGTTCCTTTATTGATAGGCTACACGTTCAAAGCACCATGGGGGCATTATAGGGATCTGTTATGCTTAATCTATTAAGTTTTGCTATGCACAGGTCTATGACTTTTGAATTAAAGTACGCAGTGAACTCTGTTGCCTTGAAACTCATGCTGGCGTCATTCATTTCATATTCGCTCCCGGCTGTCCCTGCCTGCCAGCATGGTGGTGTAAACAGAATGGGTCACGTGACGTCCGGAGCTCTATACTTCCCTTTCACATAATTTGTTCTTGAATTAGTCATTTTTAATTTATATAAACTAAGCCTAAGCAAAATAGAAACATCTTTTTGATTGGGATGGGTGGGTTGGTTTTTTTCTTGTCAGTGTCCATATATAGTGGTTATGCCAAGCTTTGCTATTTGGGGGGCATTTGAAGATGTTTTGTCTAAACAAAAATAGCAACACATACATACAGTTCAACTACCCAGAGACAATCATTGGCCAAGACATTGCCCAAGACTCACCATGGCTCTTTCCACAGCAATGTGGCAAACGAAAAAGGAGAGACATGCCTTTGACCACCACTCCTTCTCCAAATGGTGTCACAGAAACCACCACCATCACATCACCAGCCATCGTCATCCGCGCAGAAAACGGTACATTCCTTCCCCTTCGTGAAAACAAACTGAATGAATTAATATGAATGAATCACCAGCACTACTGAGTTTTAAGCTATTTACATTTCTTTCCAGATCTGAGAAACTGACTTTATTCTGTTTATTTCATTTCAGTGGTGGCAACAAAAGAGGAAGGTGAGCTTAAACTGTTTCACATGTAAAGCATGTAATACTTGTCCAGATTCTCTTCATATTTTCCAGTGTTTGGGGGGATAATTTATTGAATGTAGCCATGTTAACTAATTTAACTAAATACTAAGTTAATCAAACAAACATTGGCAACAATCAAGCGCTCTCTTGTAGAATGTTCATATGTAGCACTTTGAAAGTTTGATTCATTTTAGTGAATCAGTTTGTTCAGATGAATCATCTAAATGAACTAGATCAATTAATCAGCTCGAGACTCTGTGAGGCATTATGTATCTATTTACAGATAAACATTCAGTAAGCACTGCTGTCTATCACTGTTTTTGACATTGCATTCTAGTTTTTGTTGCTGTTGCAAGTTATTTTTCAGCCAAAGAATTACTTTCTGAATTTGATTATTTTCAGAAAAAATTATGAATTTTCAGCAGTCATTACTCAAGTCTCCAGTGTCACATGATCTTTCAGAAATCATTCTGATTTGCTGCTCAAGACACATTTTTTATTAAATTAATGTTGAAAACAATTGTACTGCTTAATATGTTTGAGGAAACCATGATATATTTTATTCAAAATATAATTTATTCTTTATTCAAAAGAAGAATATTTTTTGAAATCTTTGTAACACTATTAATGTATTTTATGTAGTTTTAGACTCATTTATTGCTGAATAAAAGTAGCAATTTCTTTAAAACCAAACTTTTGAACAGTATTGTAGTTAGCTCCTTTTGTTTGTAATGCTAACCTCACATGTCCTTGTTTTGCAGAAGTCACAATCAGCACGAAAAAACCTTCAGACTCCTCTTTGGGTCTTGGCGTGGCTGTGGGCATCCTGGCATTCGCCTGCATCATGACCGTAGCAATGGGAGCAGTTTTCTACAAGAGACACTGGCACAACGCACCTTCAAAAATGCCCCGGTGAGATGAGACACCCTGTTCCTGCTCCAAGAGAGGACTGCCAGTCCCCGCCAGGACGATCTCTCACCGCTGGAAGGCTGAGCAGGGCTCAGCGTAGAACTGTTTTGGACATCTTGATCTTTCCTATAGTGCTTCTTGGTGAATAATCTATAGCATAATGTGGTTTAGAAGAGCAACAGTGCACGATATCAGCTCTACACCTTAAACTTGTGTTTAAGTGTAGCTTGGATCTGGGAATACATGTTAAAAAGCTTATGTATAAAAAAGGTTTATACAGTATATAAGGCAATGTGAATTCTCTGTAATTTTGTATTTTCGAATTGAAGTGCATTAAAAATGAAAGTATTGACCCATAAAATGAATCCAATCCCAATGAGCGCACGCTGTGGTACCTGTAAAACACAAAAAGGAAATAAATCTGAATGTGTGTGGAGGGTTTGGAGCTCCCTAAGACAGTCCCTAATACCTTCTAAAATGTTATATGTGTTATTTATTAAATACTACTCTTTCTGCTTAACTCTCATGAAATTTTGACACCCCCATATAAAGACTACTCGTGCACAGGCCAAAACATCCCTGCATTTACAATGAAACATAACTTTTAAATCAACACTTTTGAAGCAACAGCAGAGTATTATAGATTCCCCTTCAGGAACTCGAGCTGCGTCGAGATCGCTTTGGGAACGCCCCTGCGTGACTGCGTTCTGAAGCACGTGTAAAATCAGTCCAATGGAGCAGCGAGACATCACGAGCGGGGTGACGTGAGCGCCAGGAAGTATAAAAGCGCAACCGGCAGAGCGCAAGTTAGCTTCTGCTCTTCAGTAGCGCTCTGTGTATGTGTCAGTCTATTTACTGTTGTCTGTCAGTCCACAAGCATTCAAAAGAATCAAAGTCTATACTAATATCTATTGCGAGCAAATGGCATTACAGACGTTGAGTGCCTCCCTGCCCACACTATCTGGCAGCGGGGGATACACACGATCTGTGTGTTGTTTGTTTAGGAGCGGAGCATGCACGGTCAGATTTGAGGAGCTGATTGTCATCACTGCGAGTTACTCTCGCTGCGTATGCTCCGCTCTCGCCTGGCTGTGTTTGATGAGAGTGGCCAGGCTTGCAATCCCGCTGGCAGCGGTCCCGCTGTTGCCAAGGCACGGCATAGACTGTTGTCGCGGGGATCGCAGGTGGATTTTGCAGAGGGATCCGAGATGGGCTCGTCCTTTTCTCGGTCCTCACTCGCTAAATCCGCGGCTCTCTCTCAGTGTTCGGAAGCCCGCGCTGCGGTTTCTTCCCTTCCCCAGAGAGAGAGAGCCAGACGCTTCATCTATCTTCCTCCGAGGAGGTGAATGTGATGAGTGTCGAGACAGAGGAGACTGTGGACTCGCCACCACAGTCCCTCGTGTATGAGGTGCGATTCGGGCAGTAGCCAAAATAAAATAACGTTTGGCCTGCCGAGAAACAGGACAGTCTCGAATTATTCAAAAGGACATCGTGGGGCTGAATGAGGGATATGGGGTGATGCCAGTGGTGGAGCAGACGCTTGCGACCCATCCTCAGCATCATCCCTGAAGGCCCCGAAGCTTCCCACCAGGCCCGTTAGTCTTACATCGAGTCTGGTTGGGAAAGCTTATACGGCGGCAGGTCAGGCTGGCGCATGTTTTGCACACCATGGCAGTGTTACAAGTATACCAGTCTGACCTGCTCAGGGGTGGGGCTGCTGAGCGGGAGCAGCCCAAGCCGTCAAGCTCCTCATATCGCCAGTCTCAAAAACAGAGCGTTGCAACCCGCACCCCTCCACAGAAAGATTGGGGGTCAGGGCGATGCTCTCAGTCGGGGTCTTCTAGAATGAAAACGGATCTGCGGACCGTTATTTTGTCTAAGAGGACCTCGGCTGAACGGTCCTACCATTGTCAGGTCCCTGAGGGCAGCCCCACCTGGGGAGGAAAGGATAACACCTCAGTAAACGGTACCCAATCCTCTTCAGTGCCCTCACGGAGGTTCATTGATACCCCTGCCACCCTCGGTGCTTCAGGGCTCAGTGAGCTCCGACGAGCGAAAATCCTAGCTGCCGCCCGGCAACGGTACGGCACGGGAGAGCACGCCCCCTCAAGTGAAGAGGCTACAGCGGTCAGGTCGGTTGTTCCCTCAGTGCCCTCACGGAGGTTCATTGATACCCCTGCCACCCTCGGTGCTTCAGGGCTCAGTGAGCTCCGACGAGCGAAAATCCTAGCTGCCGCCCGGCAACGGTACGGCACGGGAGAGCACGCCCCCTCAAGTGAAGAGGCTACAGCGGTCAGGTCGGTTGTTCCCTCAGTGCCCTCACGGAGGTTCATTGATACCCCTGCCACCCTCGGTGCTTCAGGGCTCAGTGAGCTCCGACGAGCGAAAATCCTAGCTGCCGCCCGGCAACGGTACGGCACGGGAGAGCACGCCCCCTCAAGTGAAGAGGCTACAGCGGTCAGGTCGGTTGTTCCCTCAGTGCCCTCACGGAGGTTCATTGATACCCCTGCCACC